AGGCCATAGCCAACAAATCGAACAGGTCGACGATCAGATTCTCTATGTATCTCCGCCACCATAGGTTTATATCTTCTTGCAGAATCAACCAGAACAAATAGACTAAACCCGGCACCCGATGGCCGTCTTACCATCATCAATCAATCATGAGCTTCCCGAACTAAGAAAAACACATTAGTAATGGCCATTATCAAAATCTTCTTCAACATAACAAAGCATGGCCATCACGCGGTATTGAAACCAATTAATATCCCTGCCTACGCTATTGTTAAAGATCGAAACGTAAACCTCAATACGCAAGAAATCCACGAATGTATATCGCTTCAAAGCGAAAACAAAAAATCTTTCGATTTGTATCATTATATATATAATATAAATTCAAGAATTCGTATATAAATCCTAATAATATTATATGTTAATTAAAATTTTGCAAATTACATGTCTTTTCTTCCGGCATTCAAAACAACAAAAGTGCAAAGAATATATCTCGATCTTCAATAAAAATACAATATATATTAAATATATCAATATTATTCAACATATATAATAAAATAGTTAAAACCATAAAAATATCAAAATAAAAAAATTCAATATATCTATTTATAATATATATATATATATTTTTTTTTAATCTATATATAAATATATTTATAATATTAATATATATATATAAAATTAAATTAACAATATTATATATATAATTTTTAAATATATTTAAATAATATATATTATAAATCTTTAAATAATATAATATATAATACTATAAATATCATAGAATATTACAATAATACCCAAAAATATAAGTATAAATGAGTTTTGTCAGATTGATTCAATCTTTCATGAATATGTCCTAAGCGTCGAATGGAGGATATTCGATATATTTAGCGGATATATTTCTATTCAATTATTCCAGGGTACGGAAGAACTCCAATTGTTTCATATCCATTACCAATCCTACTAAATAATATTACCAATCCGGTCTTATTGCCAAATAGCTTGATAGCGCATGCCGGTTACAGGTCACTTGCATTTGGGATCAATGTCAAATGAGGTAGGGGTCCGAGGCAATCCACCATCTCCCAATATGGCTGTCGGTAAAGAACCTAAATTGTCTATGTTTAGGATGCGAACTACAGCAATGCAGGCGATACAGGTGTCGGATCCAAAGTGGCTGTGCCACATATGTATGTACTATGCGTTCACATAATGTACATATTGCATATATGGTTTGCTTTATTTTTGTGTAACAACATCCAGTCTGCACTCCGGGCTGGCGTTTGCACCATCTCCATCTCGACCAAGGTGCCTTCAGCCTCGCATTTGGGGCAGCGGCACTCAAAGAACCAATGGCTCAACCTCAGGTGTCGCCAGGCCACACCAGGCGGTGGGCACGTGCTGCTCTATTGGCGAGCCAGCTGTGAAACTGCTGATCTTCTGCGACATACCATTCCTGGCTGATCTCCACAGACTGGTGGACCATTGTGGATTTAGTTTCACGCGAACTTGGCCGCCGGGCTGCGGTTGTCTCTCTTCCAGCGGCCTACATGACGACTCGACATGTCAACAGACTGGGAAGCTTCCTGATTTTGAACATCTTGAATTAAAACAGAAGAACCAAACAAGAACAAAACAAATGTTCTACCTGTGCCTGGAATCTACTGTGACATACTATGATCACCCTTGCATGCGAACAGGGCTGGCTGGTAGGTTGAATGCCTTTAGAAACTGCTGATATAGGACTATATAGCCGTTTCGGCGAAAGCTAGGTTTGACTATGGACATCATTGATCTCCGGGGGAAGCCCAACTACATTGACAGTAGCACTCTTTCAACGTCAATCGCTGAACAATTATTGCGCGGGGCGTTGAAACATGACAAGACCCTTCCACCTACACATAAGTAGATTAAATATGATTAAATGATTAAACACGGGACATCTGTGTGATACTATTGAGATCTATTGAGTAAATTGGCATGTGTGTATATATGTATATTATATTATATTATATATATATATGCCCTAGGCTTCCAAGACCATAAACAATTGTTGACCTGGTTTTTGTAGTGTAAAATCCTTAGTTGATTCGCTAAAGCCTATTAAATTAATGGTGGTTGGAAGCCTAGGGTATGTGTGTTTTTCTCTTTCACCATCTATGGCCGTGAACTCACGCGAAGTCCGCATCTTGCACGGCGCCCCGCATCGCCATCGCCACGCGGTCTATCGGTCGGCCCAGGCCAGTCGGGGGAGACGTAGGCCAAGGTGAGCTGCTCGCCCACCTGACTATGCTGCGCAAAGAAGAGCAAGCATCGTAACCAAACACTATAGTGACAATGATCTGTATGAAGTGAACTAAACCCGTCAACTGATCGCATCCGCCCGAGGGCATGTCTCTCTGCGCACCGCACGCCTCCAGGCGTCGGTTGGTCTTCAGGCTCAGCTCGGCGCCCGAGTCCGCGCAAGTCTCGAAGCGCGCCGAGGGCATGCAGGAGTGGTTCATGGTGCTCAGCAGCACGTAGACCTTCAGCGCTCAGGTCCGCATGACGTATAGCTATCATGTGAACTTGCATTCTTTTTTAGGTTGTGAGATGTTTAGGTTTTGAGGGAAAAAAAACATTAAATCATAATTGGTTATCTTCATGAGATTTGGAGCAACTAAAGGACAAACCGAAGTAGACCACCAGGTGGCATTTGTCATACTGTGGTGTTTTCTTTTTTCAAAGTAAAACCTCAGGTGACCTTTGCAATCCTCAGTTGCGTACTGAGATTTGGAGCAACCCAAGGAGAAACCAAAGTAGATGCTCCACCAGGTGCCAAACTCTCTGTGGCGACCCTGTAACCAAGGGCAGCATGACATGAGAACAATTGTCCCGTGACGGATTGCCCGGATCTGGTCGTGGTAATTCCACCATGTGGTCACGATCATAGTGATGTGGAATTCCTGGATGTGACCACCTATAGTGATTATTCCGGTCACATCCAGGACAGATCCGTGAAACTCACCACTTGACGCCCCCCACGCCGGCGCTCAAGAGTGGTAGGTGCCCATGGCGAGCTTCCGGCACCTGGGCGTTGCCATATGGACATCCATGGACCATGGACCTGGGTGATTTCCACATGGACCATGGACATGATAGGAGCATAGTTCTTGAAGTGCCCAAATGGTGGTAAGAGATCGAAACTGCACTGAGTGAATGGGACATTCTCAATCTTTCAGTCCAAAAACCAGTGGTGGAGAAGTCTGTATAAGCAGTTGTAGTAACTTATAGTGACAAGAACAGGTGATAGCCGTAATACGAGGCATGTGACAAACCTGAATTGCAGATGCTGGATAAGCTCCTCTAACAGAACAACAAACAAGGAACACAAGGTCCGGCTTGAACATCTTTTCCTCCTCGCTTCAACCATGATTACATATGAATACTCATGAATAGACTATCCACACTATCTCTTTTAATTGTAAGGCAGCTTCTGGCCATCAGAAAATGTTTTCCATCTTCGCTTCAAACATGAATAAATAAGAGGTTGTTGATGGTTGTCGCATAGGATCTCTGCTGTAGTGGCAGTTGTGCATTAAAAAAGAAACGGTGCAACAACAGTGGAGCCCAGTCAAATGCCTGCTACAGATTCCAAAAGCATTTGGTTGTGATTTTCAAACCTAGGTCATGTACTCGATTGAACAAACATATTTGCACCTAAAGCCAAACAAAAAGTGCAACAAACACCCACTCAGTCAAGTGGTTTCTTCTCACTTGCTCTTTCGATGGCTCACATGGAGCCATGACTCGGCAGTCGCACTGCAAAGCTGACGGCGTTGAGCACCAGCTTCCCCGCCAGCTGTCGAATGGTCTCCTCAAGGGCCAGCGTCCAGGAGATGGCTGGTCGTTCAGGTTTCTCCGCAACCAACGTAGGCTAATCACCAATTCATATAAGATCATATCAATTCATATCATATTTTATAAGTGTCCAGTTTCCCCATGTCTTTTGACAAGAGCGACCATGAACCATTTCCCTTGAAGGACGCGTTCACATGCCGAGGACCTCGCGACCCCCGGTGCGACCTGTCGGTCCGCGCGTCTCTTTTTTCGGACCACGCGGGCCATGGAGAGCTCCACTGGGCGGCACCCGCCTCACGCGCGTTCACCAGACGGTTAGGCTGTTCCATGGAGGTCCTCCAACGCCTTCCAAAGGCTTCTCTTTGATTCTAGTCTTTGGTTCTCAACCCGGAAAGCCTTTATAATACTTCCAGTCTAAACCACATTAAACCTCACTAAACGCCAGCCTTTTGCCCAAGTCAGTGGCGCCTCAAAGAGCCGTCACCAAGCCGCCCGCTGCCCCCAGTGCGCCCAGCGCATCGCCAGCTGCACCGCCAGGCCCCCCAGCGCTGGACCTGAAGCACAGGTGCTAGGCCACCCTGTGTGTTGGGGTGAGAAGGGACACGTCCAAAAGGCCTAAGCCTAAGCCTTGGTTCATCTTAGGTGACTTCATCAATTTGGTGCAGAATCTTTGGGCACAACAACACGAAGTGAAGGGCTATCACTTCGACGTACACTAAACATGTTGGTTTTCATTGACTGCCTGGTGAATTTGGCTGGCGAAAGATGATGAAACAAAGATCTGGCGACATCTCATCTTTCCCAGTGCCCAAAAACTGTCAACTTTGGCCACATCCCAAAGATGGTATCCCTTGCAAGGATTGCTTCAATGGGAAGCTTCAGAACAGCTCAGTGATCTGCTGAACAGCAAACGCCCCCTACAATGCGCCAACTGCTTCCTGGCCCAAGGCACTTGGCTGCGTCCTCACTGCCACTGGGCAAGGGAGGAGAGCCAAAGAAGTCATGCACCTGGCCACGAACAGTCATGCACCTGGCTTGGCTACTTCCTCAACATCTTAATCCCAAATCTGGTCTCCCTCTGCTCTAGCTTTCTCCTTTCTCTCTGTATCCAAAACGACTCCACTCCACAAGTCTTGCTCCAGGCGACCCACACTTTCCGACCGACCCGCGACCCGCGCGACCCGTGACCCTCGCCTCGCGGCCGGCTGGACCGCCGGGCTCCGCGTAGGGGTCGCTCAAGGAGAGCACCGAGTTGGGCCCCGCAGCGATGCGCTCCTTCCTCGGTTCGACGCGGTCGTGGCGGTCGACGTGGGGTCTGAGGGTCAATGGGAGGTCGTCTGGTGTTGGGTGGGTGGGACCGGTGTTGGCGACCGGTGGCTTTCCGACAAAGGCAGCGGATTTGCAGTGGATGGAGGATGATGGATGGGGTGTCTTGGATAGGATTCTTCAGTATTTGGGTGTGGTTTGGATAAGATTGATGAGGTGGGGTGGAAGAAGGGTTATGTGGAATGATAGGATGAGCTGTGTAAATGCTGCTTGCTTGCCTGTCCTCTGAGGTGGATCTGCTGAGGTGGCTGCTCCACCTGCAAAAAACATTCTTTTGGTCCTTACATGATGCCAAGGCAACTTGACCAGGGATCAAAAGGTTTCATCCCAAATGGTTAGAGGCCGATTGAACTACTGGGTGTCCGACCCCTACAGTATTGCGCCAACTACTGACAGCCAAACAGTTTTGACTCAAACCAAAAAGCAATCAGCACAGAGAATGGTTCGGTCCATAATTCAACACGTCAGCACAGCAACATTGTCCTTCAACATGAATCGATGGCTGCGGCGCAGTTCCTCTAATTCTCTTCCAAAATGGGAGCGCCAAGACAACAAACCTGTTATATCCAAACCAACCACTAAGCCAACATAAGCCAAACCACTAAGCCAACCTGGTCGTCCTTTGGTCCCTTCAAAGTAACAGCTCTTTTCGCCGAGCCGAGCCGATCCGAGGGGCCATGGAACTTGGTACAGGAAGTCCAGGAACCTTGGAGGTGCGAGGAACGGAAATCTAACCGGAAGGGTGGAGAAAAGCAGTCAGGTCATGATCAAGTCAACTCTGCTGACATTTCAAAATGGTTTGAGTATATAGAATACAACAGGATGAGCAGAAAAAACACAACAATATGTATATATATATATGTATACATACTGGTCATTGACGTAGATAAGGAAGGCATTGAAGATATGGACCTTCTCAAGACCAAAGTCTGTCTGAGAAGGAGTGGTTGGTCATTGAAGTGCTCGCCCGGCATCGTCGTGGGATGATGGTGCAAGTACAGGGATTGGGCGGCATGTCTCCAGTTCGAACTTTTCAACCTCTTGGTGAATGAAAAGATGGACATGGTGCAACTTTTGTCGTTCTGTGCATCCACATCCCTCAAAGTGAAGTGATTGGATTGGAGATTCCAACTGCCTTCACGGGTACAAGAAGCTGGGTCAACAGGGGTTCCATGTTGAAAACATGTCATCATTCCCAAGACCACCCGACAAGCTTTCAACACATGCCAGCCTCCTCCTTTAGCGACAAGGCACTGTGGAGCCATATCCGTAGGGCGCTCACCGAAGCCTCAAAACGTTCTCTGGTGTTTGGACGTACAACAATCGAATTCATTGTTGTCCATGTGTTGACCGGAGTGGGTCTGGTGCCAAACTAGTCAATTATTGCTTGCATCTATCAGCATGTCAAGCACATCTTCAGTGTTTATGAGGCTGGAACTTTGTGTCTCTGAAGATTCTCGATATGTTTTTCATCATCACATGGTTGCTTGACGCATGCTACTCGTCAGCTGCTGCGCCTTTGGGTGCTGGAGGCCGACGCAGAGCCGCTGGGGGGAAGCCTCCATAGGACGCACGTCAGTGGGGACTGGGCTTTTGCCTTAACCGATGGTCTATGAATAGACCCGACACCTGCTTCCCTCGGCAAAATGAATAGCTTTATAGTCAGAAGCCCAACACAACAGCTGCAATTCCAAGTGGTTTGGATTCTCTTTTTGGGTGGCAAACTGGCTTCCTTGGGCGCTTTCTCGGTGGTTCTCAGGTTGTGGTGGTTGCTCCTAGTGTCGCAATGCGTGGAGCACGGCCTTCCTGTGCTGCGAAACGACTCAGGGCAGGAACTTGCCATCCGCAAAATGCACAGACTACTAGACAGCAAACGTGCGAACGTGCACACTTGGTTTTGGACAGCGACTGTTGGATTTGCCCCCAGCAAGCCAACATACCTTAGCCTTAGCTCATCTGAGTTCCAAATGCAGCCCTTGCTGTTTTAGAACAGCTGAGACTCCGAAGGACCTTTAGAAACTCATTTCTTGAACTGGACCGAATAAACTGGACACCGCCCTGTTAAGATCAAGGGACCTGTCCAGTGTCGCCACGCGCCTGGGAGGTTCAAGTACTCTGCAGTATGCCCCACAGTCTCATTGGCCACTGCGCTGGCCTCACGACAAACAACAGTGTTTTAAGACTTTGAGAGTCAGAGAGTCATGATGGTCATACTCTCAAACACGTCGGATGAATCATACTCCACTATAGTCATGATGGTCATGATGGTCAGCTGGATACACCAATGAGTCCGTCCAAAGGTCGCGACCGCTTCGGTCGTTCACATGATCGAACTGTGTTGTTCCTTGTGGTGAGCCATGCGGGGCATCTGTGCCATTGGATACCATTGGTGTCTGTGTCATGCAAGGGCACGGAGAGATGTACATGTGACTATAGATGTAAAGACTCTCAAAAGAACTCAGATAGTCCTTAGGCCCAATGAAGACGTCTTCAAGTCTTACTTCGGCCGCCGCCCCATCGTCCCCTGCCCCCATCGTCCCCTCGGAAACGCCGTGACGAGGCCCGAGGGCGGCCGGCCTTTCCAATGGATTGCTCCAGCTGCGCAGCTGTGAGCACCTCATCGGATCGGACCCCGGGCTGCAACAAAGGCATCGGCGCCCAAACGGATGACCGGTCTAGGGGTTGGGGTCAGCAGGTGCATGATATGAGGTCATACTATGGGTGAAAGCCAAGGTTAATAGTTCCAACATGTGCCAACATATTCCAACTATACCAAAACAAACACTCTGGGACACGCTCTACCGCTGGGGCACAAGCCGACCGGCACAAGCCGACCGACCGGTCCGACCAGTGCCGACCGATCTGTCAGAACATGACTTTCTCGCAGAACATGTTCGCAGTCATGTATATGTTCTGAAACTAAACAATGGAAGTGGACAACCCCCTGTTTGTTGAGGAAAATCATATTCCAGGAGGCCGTTATCCACTTCCATGATTGTTGGAGGGAGGGTATCCAAATATTCCAATATGAATTTCTACATTCTGGCATTCTGTCTCCCCTCTTTGGATCACATTTTCAGGTAGTTTCACGGTCCGACCGACCCCAAACCCGCACCAAGTTCCGAACGGCCGTTCCGAACGGGCCAGCAAGAAACCGCGCGCCGGGCGAAGTCCATGGTGAGCTTCAACTGGTTCTGCAGCTCGTAGCCTTTCAAATCGGCCTCACACGGTAAGGGAGAAGAGTCTCCAGGCGAGCAGAGTCTCCAGGCGAACCGATCACGTGAAGATGGGGGAAGACGTCCGTGAGGTCGGGAACCGCTTGGGCAGCGTACACACCTTCGAAGATGATCCTATGCGACCCTGGCAAGACTAAAACCACTGGTGAACTAGAGGAGCCCTACACTCTTCCACTCGGAAGCTCACGACAGTTCCACTCGGAAGTCGATGTGAGACTCGGGAGTTGTCTCCGGTCGAGTCTCGGAAGAAGAAGCTGAGATCGTTGGGCTTGTGGCACGCCCTTGGACTTGGAACGGGGTGACGTGCTGGTTGAACCCGTTGGGGGTGAAGCTGTGCCCAAATGCCGGTAGTGCCCCAGTTGGCTATTGCAGGCTCTGCCGTTGGCTATCGCAAAAAAGGTGAAGCTGTGTGTGCGGTGGGAGTTTCCATAGGCTTGTGATGGCTTGTGGCTAT